GGAGTAGTAATTTTCCATCATAATGGCCGGCTAGATCCGAGCAATGGTGGGGAACACTCTAAAAAAATTTAATTTTCCAAAGGTTCCCACCCAATGTTTTCCAAAGCAAGAGTCCAAACAGTGGTGGAGGTTATTCTGGAAAAATTAATTTCCAGAAGTTCTAGACCACTGTTGGTGAAGATGGTGATCCAAGCTTTCCCCTCCGACGATGGCAACGTGCCGGAGCACATGCCCGGTGAGTACCCAAGGCTTTCGTCCCCGATGATAATCCCTGGCGGCGAGAAGTTCAAACAGTGGTGGAAAACAACCCAGGAAATCAATTCCTAGGAAGCTCCAGTCTAATGTTGTGACAATGGAGAATCCAAGCAATGCTGGAAAATCAATTCCCTGGGAATCCCATCTAATGCTCTCAATTCTTGCTTTGTTTGATTTATCAAATCCCATGGTAAATGACCTGCAAAATTAAAGACAGATACATGTATATAAATGGCGCAGAAATTAAAAGTTACCTGTGGCATCTCTCGGCTAGTTGAAGGTTTGGCTGAAGAATGAAGATGCAGAAGGATGAATGCATATTTATAGTGTTGTTGGGTGATATGGTTCACGAATTTTATGCGGTCTGTGGCTATCTTTAAGCATTTTGCGTGTGCAGTTTGAATTGGAGTATTATCTCGAAGTGAATTCAGTTTGAAATAGCAATCCTAATCATATTTGAAAATGCAATGCATGTTATGGACACCTCCACGTGAACTTTGACTTTAGTTTTGCTGGTTTAATGGGATTTTTCAAGGGAAAGGTGAATATTGGGAGGCCCATCATTTTTAATTAGAGTTCTTTCCGTGTTTCATATGGGAGCCCAAATGGACAAGGCAAAAAAGATATAGTGCATCGGTGTCCTACTATCATTATTTACAAGGTTTCGAGACTTCCTTCTCCCTACGTTTAATTAAGGCGCGCCAAGCAAGTCTCGAAGGGGCAATTTGTAAGCACTGAAATTTTAAATGGACCGATTTGCATGTTACTCGGTATTGATAGATAATTAATCATTAAATTAATTACTTTAATTAGGCTAGTTGGACTAATATTTATTTAATTGGGTTAATTAAATGGCCCATTAAATAATTAATTAGTTTAATTACTTAATTAAATGTAATTGAATGTTGGATTGTTCGGCCCAAAATGGTGGAATATTTAATTTATTTGGACCAGGCTGCTTGGATGAACTGGGTTGTCTAATTAACGCGTTTGACTTGGTTCTGGCCCATCAAAATTATATGTGGATTATATAATTTTGGAGAAATATGAATAATTTGATATTATTTGAAGATTTGATGAGATCATGAACCTGGACGCAATGGTGTCCTGATACACTCCTTAATTTAATTAAAACAATTAAATTAAATTAGGAATTAAGAGTTGGTTGGAGATTTTCCCTCACTCTCACCACTATAAATAGTGGTTTCATTTCCAAAGAATGGGCTCTGAAAATCTGCATATCGAAGCTCTGCCGAAATCTCTCCAGGATATCGTCTGGAACACGCCCGCAGTTGTACTGCGTATACCGCGCTGAGGAACACGCCACTTGAACACCGGAGTCCCTTCTTTGAAGATCAAGCTGCATATTAGCCCTTCATTGAAGAACAAGCTACATAACTCCGGAGGCCCTTCAGCAAGGAACTACTTCCAGTTCGGCATACTTCCAGTTCAACATACTTTGAACTTGGCATACTTCCAGTTCGGCCATACTCCCGAACTTGGAATACTTCTAGCTCAGCATACTCTGAACTCAGCACACTTCCAACAAGGAACTCGGCATACTTCCAGTTCGACCATACTCCCGAACTCGGCATACTTCAAGTTCAGCATACTCTGAACTCGGCACACTTCCAATTCGGCATATTCCGAATTCGGCATACTTCTAACAGGCATACTTCTAGTAGAGAATCAGAGGACTTCTCCTATACAGAGATTGTACCCCTTCCCGTTTGATATATACTTGATACTTCATTGTAACCGATACTTTGAATTTTGAATATATACAATTCAAGTTTTTCGCGTTTACAGAGCGATTCTATGGGCGAGTTGAGTATGAGGCCGGCTAGATTGCCGAGCCGGTTAGGTCCATTCACGATTCGTGAAGACCTACCTCCCCACGAGTTAGAGGTTCCGTAGCTACGGATGTGGCGGATGCACGAGATTGCACCGTACGATACGGCTTCGCTGCAGCAGAGTACCTGCCTCGCACAAGAAGAGAAATGAGAAGTATGAGAAAGTTTGAGCAAGAAAGAAATCGAGTCAAGAGACTCAAGAGAAAGAAAGTGAGTCATTGCGACTCTAAGAAAGAAAGAGCAAGCAAGTCCTTGTGGCTCTAAGAAACCTCCACAGAAAAGTATTCTATTTACAAACGAGTGTATAAGTATACTTATCCTATAGCATCTGATTGCATTTGAGTATAGTATTGCACGAGATTGCATAATGAGAATGTTTGCACGAGATTGTATATTGATTATGAATGCTTTAGTTGCATATTGATGTATGATATTTCTAGTTTGCATGATGAAAACTTGAAAGCATGAGAATAATTTCTTATTGATTGATAGCACGAAATTTCTTGATAAGTTTATGTGTTAGCATGAGATTGTTATTGAAATGTTATACAGGATTGAGATTTGCTATGTTAAGTATGCGATAGTATGAGCATGTTATTAGGTTTGATATCGTTGAAGTATGCCTATTTGATATTTTAGGTTGTGAGCATATAAAAAGCTTTGTGGTTTATATCAAGGTTTTGTCTAAATGTTTGAGATTGCTTAATTTGGGAATGTGAACAAATGTTTTTCCAAAGTATATACTGTAGTATTTTACAGGGTTGAGTGTGGTTATACTTAGCTTCGTGCTAACGGGTGTTTTCTACTTGTCTACTTGTTGTTTTGCAAAACCCCTTTCAGGTGGGCCCAGCGTTTGAGAGTTGTTCGAGTTAGACTAGTATAGTTGATCTAGTAGTCTAAAGTCTTGTTTTATTGATGATGTTTTGAATTTATGGATGTAAAGACTTGTTATTTTGTTTGGTGATAGACACCGGGGTACTTATTTCCCCAAGTTACTTTAATGTAGTAAATTTCGGAATGTTAGTTTCACATGCAATACGAGGACGACTGATCAAAGTCGATCAAAGAACTCACAGCCAAATTTGAGGTATTTTCCTCTCGTGTTGCAGCCCCAGACCAGGATCATCCGTGCGGTTGGGATCCGCGATGCCTTCGCAGTTACGCTCAACCATATATATTGATTACACCCATAGGGGCCGGGCGGCAAACATCCTCTAAAAGGGATCTGGATTCTTCTGATAATGATCATTTGCGCGTACGGGGAGATCGTGGTGGGGGCTATTGGGTTTTGCGATTTCGCTGTAGTAGTCGAATGCATTCGTGACGATCCTTCAGCGAAAATAAGAAAAACTTACATGTAGGAATTCTATGTCGTCGTGACAAACACTAGTTTTGTGATTGCGGGGATGGAGGTCTGCATGCATGTTGGCTGTATGAAAGGTGATGCATACAATTCTTGTGATTTTCCTGTATGTTCAGCCACATGCATGCATATGTATGACCACCAATTTTTGACATCGTGGCAAGGTTAACATAACATGCAAGGTAGGTGTGTAAATGTATGACTGGGCTTAAGTTTAATGCAACATTGCAAATGTGTAACATAATCGGATCGACAAGTGATCGGTGGAATGGGATAATTGCACCCGGGGAGTGATCGGTGGAATGGGATCTCACCACTGTTGGATTGTTGTTTCGCAGGAAATAATGTAGATTAAGGAAAGCATGTTTGAGCTTGTACAGCAGCTCTCAACGAGAGCACTATTGATAGAGAAAATTGATCCCGCGGTATGTGTTTATATAGGTCAATAATCTCCAAAGAGAAGTATGAATAATAAAAGGGTGACTGCGTTGCAGGGAATCAATAAACAACACAAGGATTTAACATGCATGGAAACCAAAGCGGTGAAAACCACGGGTTTTTTTGGGTTAAGCCAAGCCGAAATTCTTTGTATATATTTGTAGGTGTAGTACATGTACATAGGTGGCCATGGTCATAAAATAGAAGGAAGAAGAAAGAATATATCTAGAGAGGTTTTATATTTGAGACTGACATGACCTTTGTCTGTATCCCGGAGCCTTTATATAAGGTCCTTCCTCTAGTTGCAATATTCCCTAATATTAAGGTCAGTAACTTTCCTATTTTCTTGCCATGCATGACTTCTTCTTCTTTGACTAACATTATAATAATAATAATAATAATAATAATAATAATAATAATAATAATAATAATAATAATAATAAAAGTTAGTGAGTCATACTTGATTTTCATGAAAAAACAAAATATCAAGTGGGGGCTATGGAAAATGTTTTCCTCATTCTTGAGTAAATGTTTTCCATGAACCCAACAAATGAAAAACATTTTCCTTGAGAAACATTTTTCAGCGAACCAAACATGCTCTAAAAACTGTGCACCAGAGAAATATTTTATATTAAAATTAATGAATTAGCCAATGACTGTATGGTCTAGCTAGTGACATGAAGTGACTCTCTCAAATTGGAGATCACTAGTTCCGCGGTAGTTTCTTTCATAATGAGAAAGACAAAGAAAACGAGTTCCTCCCATCACCATGACAGTTGGGATTGAGTCATCGTGCCAATAGATATTTGGCATTTATGTGTTGATCAAAATAGCATAAATTTTGTGAATTCAATAGTCTGTGGAAGTAGTAGTGTATTTTGTTATGGTGAATGTAAATGGGTGGATAATAATTTAGTTGACTGGTGGAGTCCACTTTAACCTTCAATTATTGAGGACATTAATTTATTTTGCATTATTCATCAGGTCGTTACTACTGGCCATACATAACACTCTGCAAGAATTTTAACCCAAAAAAAAAAAAAAAATCATTCAGTTTTTCACTCTAAAATCTTGTTTGATCTCCCATAAAACGCTACCAATTCTTTGCCGGGGTGATGATTACTAATGGCGGAAGCTGCTGTAGAGTTTCTGTTGGACCAACTGTCAGCAGTGATCCGTGACGAGTGCTCACTCTTGGGAGGGATTAGAGAAGATGCAGAAGACATGAAGAATGACCTGAGTCGTCTAAGGGCAGCTTTGAGAGTTGCTGACGAGAGGGAAGAAATTGATCCTCAAGTTGAAGCTTGGGTGAAGATAGTCCGGGAGCTGGCTTATGATACCGAAGATGTTCTTGACGAGTTCCTGTTCAGCTTTGGAGGTGGCCGGACCAGTGGAAGTTTCTACACTAACATCAAGAACATATACACTTCCGTCAAGAACTTGAGAGCTCGGCGCAGGCTCGCTCTTGCACTGCGAAGGATCAAGGCCAGAATCAACGAAAACTCCAGATATCAGCCAAGCTTGCCAACAAGCACTAGAGGAACTGTTCACAACAAACAGTTGCATTATGGCCGAGTGGATGCCCTTTTCCAAAAAGACTCAGATCTGGTAGGTTTTGAAAATTCCAAGCACTCTCTTATTAAACTCCTTCTTGGCGCTGTTGATGATGATTTGAGGGTTCACTCTGTGGTGGGCATGGGGGGATTGGGGAAGACCACTTTGGTTAAAAAGGCTTATGATGATGCACAAGTGAAATAGGCCGGGATGCATGCCACGAAACTCAAGGTGATGTTTACCAGTTGAAGCTTTTGTCTAAGGAAGATTCATGGATATTGTTTTGCAAAAAAAACATTTTTAAGTGATTCATGTCCTCCACATTTGGTGAACATTGCTGAAGATATTGTAAATAAATGCGGCGGTCTGCCTCTAGGGATAGTGGTAATTGCTGGTATATTGGCTACAAAGAGTGAGGATATTGCAGAATGGAAAAATTTTCAAAATGGTCTTAACCTTCAATTAGAAAGCAATGACAGGATGAAAAACTTGAAGAATCTATTATCCTTGAGTTACTATGATCTACCATATTATCTAAAGTATTGTTTCTTTTACTTTAGCATCTTCCCTGAGGATGTCAATCATTAAAAAAAAAAACAGAATCATTAAAATATGGATTGCAGAAGGGTTTGTCAAGGAGAATGGTCATCAAGTGAAAGAAGAAGTTGTTGAAGCTTATCTCAATCAGCTAATTCATCCAAACTTAATTCAAATTGCAGAGAAGTCTGATGCTGGAAGGATTATTGGCTTACGAGTCCATGATATTTTACGAAAAATAATACTTTCAAAGGCAATAGAGCAAAACTTTGCAGTCATAGTCACTGGACGGAATAAGGAATGGTCCAACAAGTTTCGACGCCTAATGATCCATAGATTTGATGATGACATTCTAAAGAGCACTTCATACAAAATATTGCATCTCCGTTCTTTACAGCTCTTTACAGATGGGGTGGTTTCATCTTCATTATCAAAGCTGTTGTCCATTGATTATATTCCTCTGAAAGTGTTAGACTTGAGAGATAATGGACTAAAGAACATTCCAAAGGAAGTTTTCAAGTTGTTTCATTTGAAGTATATGAGTTTGAGGAACACAATGTTAAGAAATGTTCCTAAATCCATAGGACGTCTTCAAAACTTAGAGACACTTGACCTGAAACGGACTGCCGTGAAAAGTTTGCCAGTTGAGGTTGAAAAACTTTGTAAACTCCAACATCTCATTGTGGGCTGTTATTGGGGCAATGGTTTTAATGCCCCTTTTAATAGGGGATTGTTGTCTTTACAAAAGTTGCATTATATACAAGCAGACGAAACTAATGGCAACAGAGTTGTGTCTGCGATAGGGAATCTAACACAACTAAGAAAACTTGGAGTTAGAAACTTGAGACGAGAAGACGGCAAAGAATTATGTTCGTCTCTGGAAAAGTTGGCAAATCTTCGCTCTTTAAGCCTTGATTCGGCTAAAGTAGAGGAAATCATTGATATCCAACATTCTTTATCTAGGGTTCCTCTTTGTCTTCGTACATTAAAATTGAGTGGGCGTCTAGAGAGGATCCCTCAATGGTTATCTTCACTTGGAAGCCTAACCAAACTAGAGTTGGTTAATAGTTGGCTTCTTGAAGATCCACTACCACTTCTCCAAGATTTGCCCATGCTATCACAGCTTCTTCTTTTCAAGCCTTATAACGTGGAAGGGTTATGTTTTAAGGCTGGAAAGTTCCCAAAGCTAAAGTTTTTGCGTATTGATTGCTTCTGGGCACTGAAATGGATAATAGTGGAGGAAGATGCAATGCCCCTTCTTGAAAAGCTATACTTGCGAATTGCTTGAACATGTACCTCTTGGTATTGAACATTTGTCTAAACTCGACTTAATTGCATTCTGCGAATTGAACGAAAATTTGATGCTTTCTTTAGATCCAAATGGTGAAAACTACACAAAAATATCTCACATTCCTCACATTCAAATTTGTAATTGGTGAGATAATGCAATTTCTTGATGGCCAAGAAGTGTAGTATGTGTAATTGTGTAAATGTCCATGTATGTATATTACTAGTTTTTTACGCGCATTGCGCGATTGGGATAATGCCCAATGTTTTTTTTTAAATAAGTACTTTAAAGTATATCAAAACAAGATTATATTGAAATTGTTCATGCATAAATAATTGAATGTTGAATTTGCCTATTTAAATAGGTAATTCTAAGTTTACAAATACAAGATAATATAGTCAAGATTGATTATAATTGTCAATAAAATAATTGTATAGATATGATTGAAACCAAATACGGGACATAAGGGAGAGCAAATAAAAATTAGGGTATAAAATATTAAATATATACTAATATTGAAGAGCTAATCGCTGATTGCCAAACAAGTATATTGCGAGGTAGTTTCCAACTTCAAATTGTTGTGTCATTTAAATACTCTTTTTATCAATAAATCCCTCAAGTAGTTAATATGATTGGCTTAATTATATTTTTTTATTTTTTATTTTTTAAAACTATTATTATTATTATTATTATTATTATTATTATTATTATTATTATTATTATTATTATTATTATTATTATTATTATTATGTATACCTTTAGGTCATTTTACATGTTAATCTAAACAGCTAATTTTTTCAAATACCTTTTTACTAACCGTTGATATAATTCGCTGGTCAAATCCGCTAACGCTAACCGCTAACTGTTGATTGTCAAACAAGGACATTGCGAGGTAGTTCTTACTTCAATTTGTTGTGTGATTTGAATACTCGCTTTGTCAACAAATCCCTCAAGTAGTTAATATGATTGACTTTATTAATTATATTTTTTTTTTTAATTTTTTCATGGTATTAATAAAATACTTGGTAAATAGATATATAGCATTATTTTGTATTATAACTTTGATATTTAATTATTGCACAAAAAAAAGATAATAGACAATGTAGTGAACATAATCAATTGATGAATTTGAATGTAAAGAATTTTTACATTGGAGAAGTATAAAGACAATATAACTAATAAAATTATTTCTCTTAATTAATTTATTGATAATAAATAATATTTTTTTTATAAAGACATGGACAATGTAGCGAATATAATCAATTGATGAATTTGAATGTAAAGAATTTTTATATTAGAATTAGATTAATGGTGTAGTTATAATTCTATATTAGACTTTAATATTAGAATTAGACTAACGGTGAATTAACGGAAAAGTTAAATGGATAATCATATAATTAAGGATAAATTAGAAAATCTTAAAAGAAAAAAAAATTAAAACCTGAACAATATGAACCATTCATTTGATTTAATAATTTGGCGGTCATTTTTTCTCCCCAATGTTAATAATTAAATAAATTTGATGGTCAAATCCGCTTGTATAATCCGCTAACGTTAACCGCTAACTGCTGATTGTCAAACAAGGACATTGCGGGGTAGTTCTCACTTGTTGTGTGATTTGAATACTCTCTTTGTCACAAAATCTCTCAAGTAGTTAATATGATTGACTTTATTAATTATATTTTTTTTAATTTTTTCATGATATTAATAAAATACTTGGTAAATAAATATATAGCATTATTTTATATTATAACTTTGATATTTAATTTGAAAAATAGTGCACAAAAAAGATAATAGATAATGTAGTGAATATAATCAATTGATGAATTTGAATGTAAAAATTTTTACATTTGAGAAAAATAAAGACAATATAACTAATGAAAATATTTCTTTTAATTAATTTATTGATAATTAATAATTTGTTTTTCACTGAATAAAGATTGTAAGGACAATGTAGCGAATATAATCAATTAATAAATTTGAATATAAAGAATTTTTATATTGAAGAAAAATAAAGACAATATAACTAATAAAATTATTTATCTTATTTAATTTTTTGATAATGAATAAATTTTTTTTTTTGAATAAAGACATTGTGAACACATAATTCTAAATTAAAGAAATGCATATGTATTATTTATATAATTTAATAAGAGTAAAATAGAGTACTAATTATGTCAACTTTGATTGGGATGAGGTTCGAACCTAAGACCTTTTTTTTTTTATTGAAATCAATGAGTAAGTTAACGGTGAACTAACGGCAATTCTTAAAATTTTAACGGAATTAGTAACGGTGTGTGGGTATTTTAGGAAATTTTAGTGTAAAATTTAAATCTCATCAATCTTTTAATCAATCTGAGTCATTCATTTGATTAAAATCTGTGACCGCTATTTTTTCTACCCATTATAGGCCCAACTCTCTTGGGCTCTTATTAGTATAGTAGATATGTACACTTTGGTATTCATAAGTAAATATTGAAATTGATTATGTATTTTTTTTTTTTTTGAGTGCAATTGATTATGTATTTAATTGTATTCAATTTGATTTTGATATTCAACATTCTTTATTTAGGCTAGTTTACCTCTTAGGGGAGTTATGATCATTTGCTGGCTATGATCACAATGTGGGATTTACGTAGTGCACACCCTCAGGTAATGGCTGCGGGTTTCCCTTGTCACCCAAAAAAAGTAAACATCAAAAGTCAAAAATATGCCATTGCAGAACAAGCCTTAATGTCCTATTCACCTCCTTCAACAAGATCATAAATCCGTGTTCTGAATCATACATACTACAAAACACCAAATTCTTGATTTCACATCTAAGCAGCCTCCTTAAATGAGGTGAAGAGGATAGACTACAGAGAAATAACAAAATCATAAATACTTGTTCTAAACCATACATACTACAAAACACCAAATTCTTGATTTCACATCTAAGCAGCTAAAAGATAGAACGAATTCACTAAGCACAGCAAGTGTAGTTTATGAACTTGTTCCTAAAATCATCTTGAAGAAAGCAGAAAAGGACACATCCAAGAATTAACAGTCCACAAATTGCACAAAAGACAATCAAGAACACGCATACAGTTTTCCATGTCAACCACATAGATAGATAGCTTAAAATAAAAGGTAATAACTCAGTTTTATTCCATCCATTTTATCAAAAGCTTAACTTCATACTTGAAATTCAATGCACAAGGCGTCATCATATCATTTAAAACGTTACAAATTAATTATCCCAGTTCTATGTATATTGAAACCAAATTCCACAGAAATATAACTCAGATCAAAGACAAATAAAAATACTTGAGAGAGTTTTCAGCTTTTTAAATCTTATCAATGTCCTCGTCCTCAAACTCCAAGACTTCTATTTAATTAT